GCTGTCCCATGAAGCACATCTGCAGCACTCGGCCGCCCGGCCTGCGCCTGCGCGAGACTAGGCCCGAGCCGCGGGTGTGGGCGCATGCGCGCGTCAGGGCCCCGCCCAGCCGCGTGCGACGGCCGCTTCAAAGGACTCAACCCTGGCGCCTGCTCTTTGGTGACCTCCAGAGTCGGCTGAGCGCGCAGTGGAAAGTTACTGGCATCCTCCCAGCTGGTGCGGGTGAACAGGGGGGCCAGACCCGGCCGTGCTTGCACCTCCTGGCTGCTGCAGAGCGCTGGCTGAGAGTTTCCGTGCTGTCTTTCTAGACTGAGAGCTGGCTTTGCTGCTGAGGGCAGCCAGCGCTGGTCCGCAGGTCCCCCAGGAGGCGTCATGTACGTCTTATTAAGTTTCCATGAGGAGCCGGATTCTCCAGCTGAGGCCGGGCGAGCCTGAGGTCTTTCTGCTGCACGGTTACGACTGTGAGGAGAGTTCCTACTTGGGCATTTTACTCCTTCAGAGTGACCAGAGAATCTACTTTGCAACAGGAGCTAAATTAATTATCTAATTAATTAAAAACATTTTTTTACAGGTAGGTCTCACTTATGTAGCCCGGGATGCGCTCGAACTCACAGGGATCCGGAGTGCTGGGGTTACTAGCGTGCAATACCATGCCTAATTTAAGTTTTTGAGACAGTCTCACTCTGTAGTTCAGGTTGGTCTTGAACTCTGCAGTCCTCCTGCTTCAGCCTCCCATTGCTGGGATTACAGGTGTGCACCACCCTGCTGGCTGGGAACTAAATCTAAAGCTCTGTATTTCTTATTTGTTGAAAATGAAACAAAGGCTGAAGACCCACACTCTAAAGATGGCAGAGCTGCTGACTCTGGATTTCAGCGACTCGCTCCTGCCACAGTTCACTGAAGTGGAGGAGGGGACATTGTTTTCAAAGATAGAATTTAGGGTGAGACTGTAGCAGAGGATGAATCAGGTGAGCCCGGGAGAAAAGGAACTTCAGAGCTGTTCCCCTGTGCAAACAATCACGAATGGCACATAATGAACTCACACTATCTTAAGGAGTCGAGGGTGTTTTCACCTATGAACCTTATAATGTTTTCTTGAATATTTGCAGAACCACTTACAATAATTGCCATTGATTGCTTATTTCGAAGTGATTGTGAGCTTTTTTCATTGTAAAACATCATTTCTTCATTATAAGAATTTTTAATGCTGGACATGTTGGCGCATGCCTGTTGTCCGGCAGTTGGGAGGCTAAGGCAGGAGAATCCTCATGACTTTGAGGCCAACCTGTACTATATATCAAGACCCTACTTCAAATAACAAAAAAATTTCTTTTGTTTGAGACAGGGTCTTGCGTAGGCCAGGCTAGCCACAGACTTACCTGGCTTATGCTTTAATTATTTTTGTGTTTTTTTTTTTTGAGATGGCATTTCACTACGTAGTTCAGGGTGGGCTAGAACTCTTGGTGAGCCTCCTGCTTCAGCCTCCTGAGTGCTGGTGCTCCAGGGAGAACTGTAATTCCCAACCTGCCAGATGTCAAATGTGCCAAGTTCACCTTCCCTGAAATCAAAAGAATGAATTCTGAGGAACAGTGGAGGTTAGCAGTAGGAAAGATTTCAGAAACAGCTCCTGAGTGACGGGAGGGGGCCTGAAAGTGGATTGCCACTGAGGTCATTTCACTAAGAATGTTTTCCAGAGCAAAATCACAAGGCGGTACGTGGTGGGTCAAACTGCTCAAGCCATAAGACTACAAGTATGGCCGCTGAGCTGATATTGACCCAGTAGGGAAGTGGGCCATATGGTAAGGGAGCATGGACAGAACAAAGGGATTCTTGGAAAGGGATGGGTCTGGAGGTTCTGGTTACCCAGGTAACCAGACTGATGGTGGGTGACTGAGGTCTAGCTAGTTTATTGGACCAGATGATACCAATTACAGTATAATCTTGTTCTCTGTTTTTTTTAGGGGGGATACCAAGGGATCATGACCTTGTGCTTGCTAGGCAGGTGTTGTGCTGCTGAGCTGTACCCCGGCTACCGTGTAATCTCAGGTTAATGTTGAGGGGCCTGTAGGTCCAATCATTATGCCTTTATTTTGAGGCCTGCTTTTCCGATTCACTCCTGCCACGATTCTGATGGTGTAATTTTTCTGCTGACTCCCTTGAGAGCCCATCCTTCCCTGTATATTAATTAGTCTAATTTAGCTGTCTATAATATTGGGATTACAGGCATGCTCCACTTTGCCTGGCACAACATTTTAAATACATACATACCTATGTACATAAAACACTGGCAATGTAACACAGTGTGAAGGCCCTGAGTTGAATCCTCAGTATAGGGAAAAAGAAAAAAAAAGCTAAAGAGATATTTAACTGTTTTTTTTGGAAGAGAATGTTAAAAATATATGAGTTGGGCATGGTGGTGCATCCCTGTAACCCTAGCATTTAGGAGGCTGAGGCAGGAGGATCACTACTAGTTCGAGGCCAGCGTGGGCTACAAAGTCAGCTCAGGGCCAGCCTGAACTACACAGGGTCACCCTGTCTCCAAAAAAAAAAAAATATATATATATATATATATATATATATATGATGAAAAATTTGAATTTATGTTTGCCAAAGTTTTATTATACAACTAAAATGGTCTTAGGCATGTGTTGTGAGAAATGCCATGAGGAGATAATTTAAGTGAGCCCTGGCCTTAAGATACAGACTGAAGGCTGGGGACTTAGCTCAGTGGTGCAGCACCTGCCTGGCAGGCATAAGGCCTTGAGTTTGATTCCTGGTACTGGAGGGAAAGGGTGAGGGAGCTGGCAGCAGCTTAGAGGGGTGCTGGGAAGGCTCTGAGGAGACACCAGGCTGCAGGAAGTCTGTGGTGATGGGTGGTGGCCTGAGGAGGACTGAGCTGTAACATAGTCACTGTGGATGTGGGGAAAAGTTTTGCCAGCTGTTCTTTAAAGGACTGCTATCTAGAATACATAAAACACTCAAAACATCAGACACCCCAAATTTGTCTTTAAATTTTTTTCCCAAATCTATTTTATTTCAAAGAGAAAAAGAAAAAGAAGAAAAAAACCACAAAAACCTAAAACAAAATTTCAAAACACATCAATCAGGGGGCAGTGATGTGCACACACTGCACACTGTCATCCCTAAATCCTTCACCTGGAGCACAAGACATCTGCATTCAGTTGTCCAAACAATACTGGCACAGATCTTTCTCTTCAGTGAACTCGGATAGATCAGTAGTATAACTATCTTATTTTTTACATGTTTCTGTCAGCTTACACTGAGACTACGAGATTTACACGTGTGTCTTATTTATTTCATGAATGAGTATGGTCTCAAGTTGCAACTATTTATCTATAAAAGCGCTGTTTATCCTTCTTTATGGCTGACATTTTAAGTACATACATACAGTATTCCATTGTATATTTTTAAACCACATCTTTTGTTTCTGTCTTTTTTTGAGATGGGGTCTCGCTATGTGGTTCAGGTTGGCCTTAGGCTCACTTTGTAACCCGGGGTGGCCTTGAACTTGCCACAATCCTCCTGCCTCAGCCTCCCGAGTACTGGGATTACAGGCTTGAGCCACCACACGCAGCTCATCTTTTTTTTTTTTTTAGATTAAATTCATGATCTCACACCTGCCAGGCAGGTGCTTGTGCCACTGAGCTAAATCCCTGGCTCACCACATCTTTTATATTCATTCCTCAATCGATGGGCATTTAGGTGTTTCCAAGGTCTATTACAAATTATGCTACTATAAACATGAGTGCACATATATTGGTGTGGTATGATGTTTTTTAATTCTTTTGGGAAGATACCCAGAAGAGAAATAGCTGGGTCCTAGTTGTTTGAGGAATCTCCACACTGATTTCCAAGTGGTTACATCAGTCTGCTTTCCTACTAGCAATGAAGGGCTCCTTTTACCCCACAGCCCTTCCAGCATTTGTTATTGCTTGGTTTCTTGATGGCAGCCATTTTTTCCAGGGTGAGGTGGAATCTCAGTGTTGTCTTTTTGGGGGGGGGCAGTACTACAGTTTTTATCGCAGTAGCTTTATAGTATAACTTTAAGTCAGAGATTGTGATGCCCCTATCTTGTCTTTGTTGCCCAGGATTGCCTTTACTATTCTAGGTCTCTTCTGATTCTGGATGAATTTTAGGATTGTTTCCTCTAACTCTGTGAGATATGCTACTGGAATTTTGATTGGGATTGCATTGAAAATCTGTATAGGTTTTGGAAGTATGGCCATTTTCTTTTTTTCTTTTTTTTTGACTTTTTGAGACAGGGTCTCGCCGTGCAGTTCAGGCTGGTCTTGGGCTCACTTTGTACCCTAGGCTGGTCTGGAACTCACAAGGATCCTCCTGCCTCAGCCTCCCGAGTGCTGGGATTACAGGCGTGAGACACCAGGCCTGGCTCTAGTATGGCCATTTTCACGGCTGGTTCTTCTTATCCAAGAGCACGGGCATCTCTCCATTTTCTTATATCTTCAATTTCCTTTTACAGAATATTGTAGTTTTCAATGTAGAGTTCTTTCACCTCTTGTGTTAGATTGATTTCTAGATATTTAAATTTTAGACTCCCCACCAATTTCAATGCCCAGTCCAAAAATGGGCATCGGAGATGAAGACAAGTCTCAGATAAAGTAAATACATGAAAAACAAAAACAAAAAAAAACAACTTTAACACCACTAGTCATTCGAGAGGTGCAAATTAAAACAACACTGAAATTCCACCTCTCCCTGGAAAGAATGGCTATTATCAAGAAATCAATCCATAACAAATGCTGGCGGGGCTGTTGGTGGGAGTGCAGACTGGTGCAACCACTGGAGGTCAGTGTGGAGATTTTTCAAAAAAACTAGGCATAATTTGATATATTTCAAATTGTGTCATGTAACAGGTACAGATTCTCTGTGATGAATGTGATTGTTATGTGTACCTAAAATATACCAATAAACTTAATTTAAAAAATCGTCATTGTGGACACCAGAAAGTACCACAGAACTGTTGGAGCCTGAGGTCAATCCATAAGGTTTATTCTGATTTATAAAAGAAATATCATCATAGCAACTTAAAGCAATTGATATTTACAGATTTAAAAATAAATTTACATAAATATATTTACATTGTATTACATTAAAGTTTTAATTCATTAAAATGTTACAGATAGTGTTGAGCAAACACAACAAAATATAAATCAAGTTTTGAATCCATGTAAACCCCACAGGTATTCTCAACAGTCAGAGGTTTCAGGAAAAAAGCTGCAAAAATATGATTTTAGGAGTCAAGAATAAAGATGGTTATACTGGCCTCAGGTGTGTGGCCTCGGAAAGCCACCTGCACTTCATTCGTGTGATCTCCACAGTGCTGGGGAGCACACCCGAGCCTTTGACTGCTGTCTGGGTGCTCGGCCACGGTGCTGCTGCCCCTCAGGGCTGCAGGTAGCTAACCAGGAGTCCGCATGGAGGAAGATGAAAAAAGTGAAATTAAAGTTCAAAATGTTTAACTGAAACACCTCCTTTGACCCTGGGCCTGTAGCTTCAGTCCGGGACACCTGTGATGGGTGTCCAGGGCCAGGGCGAGGAGCCTGAAGCGCCATCTGCACTGCGGCCGCACAGCTTCCGGCAGCCGGAAGCTACCACACAGGCAACCCGGGAGAAAGGCCACAGACGCTAGGCTGTTCCGATGGATGCTGGCCAGGGTCCATGAGGCAAGGGTCGGAGTGCGGGCATCTGCTGGCGTCATCCAGGGAGCCAGATCCGATAGTAAATTGTATGAGGAAAGTGGCCAAGCAGGTGCTGACCAGGACCTGCGGGCTGAATTAAGCAAAGGTACTAGGGGTCACCGTGTCTCATTCCCCGAACTGTGGCCTTGACGTCGGAAGTTTCCTACTTCATAATGCAGCCTGGCTTGTGAGCAGTATGGAACGGAAAGTATAAGGTCCAGGTCCAGCAGATATGTATTAATTAAAAAGAGCTAATTTTACTAATCTGGAAACCAGTGACATTTCATGATTACAAGCCTTAGAAATTGAATACAGGTACTGGTTTATGTTTTTTTTGGGTACTGGGAATCAAACTCAGGACCTTGCACTTGCCAGGCAGGCGCTTATACTGCTGAGCTAAATCCCTGGCCCTGTATATGGAATTCTTACACATTAGAATACAAAGGCACTTGGAGATAACATGATACAGAATAATGGAGACAGGAGGAGGAGCCTTTCCTGGTGTCCTCAGTTTCTGTGTCCATGGTAATCACTGACAGCCCAGGTCTGCACGTCACCTTTGGAGAACAGTGTGAAGAAAATGGCCCCAAATACATTAATAGCAGCAGCAATATAGAAAACGGTTTGCCATTCGCTAATGGTATCCTATAGAGAAAGAAAAAATGCAAATGAAATCATAGTGCCAGCAGCCCAGTTCATTAAAAAAAAAGGTGGTGTGAACAAGACTGTAAAGAGCTAGGTGTGGTGGTACCCATGTGTAATGCCAGCACCCCAGGAGCTGAGGAAGGAGGATCATTGTGAGACCAGCCTGAAATACCAACTGAGCTCAGGACAGCCTGAACTGCATAATGAGTCCCTGTCTTAAGACAAAACACCAAAAAACCCTGTAAAAAGCACCATTGTTCATAAAAGCTCCATGCCCAGAATAACCTAAATGTCCCCCTGCAATAGCTACAATGGTGGTGTTTGTACAGTGGAGTATTACATAGTCCTGAGAATAAATAAGAGTCACTATGGCTGCATCTCATCAAATGGTAAACAAAAGAAGCAGACTGCATACCTCAAACCCAGGCAGCTCATCCAGGGTGCTGAGTCATTGCAGCTCCTCTGGGTGCTTGAGGGAGGGATAGCCAGGCATGGTGGTGCCTCGAGCTCCTGGACTGGTGCTGCTTCTTGACAGAAAGCTAATCCAGCTATGCATTTAGGATTTGTGCATTTAAAAAATGCAAGTTGGGCCTGGGCATGGTCATGCACACCTGTAAACTCAGCACTCAAGAGGCTGAGGCAAGGGAATCACCATGAGTTTAAGCCCAGCCTGAGCTACATTAGTAAGTTCAAGGCTAGCCTGGACTACACAGCAAGATACCATCTCAAACAAACAAACAAATCATGTTGCACCTCACCACACGGTTACTGTACTAAAAGGTGCAAATGTGTGTGAATTGTGACCACTGGGCCCTATGGTGTACTGACAACTGGTGGCTGCATGGAACACTCAGCTGAATTGAATCAGCGTGGTTCTGCATGTGGAAGGCCCACCTGAAGACCACTTATCAACAGCATTAAAAAAGAGAATTGGAGAGAAAAAAGTAGTACTGTTGATTTTCCTGGAGAAGTTTGTCGCACTGGCTTTCCTGATACGAACTCAGCTGTCCTCACTGTCAGAGGAGCTTGTGTCCTCACCGTCACTGAGGATGGCTGTGGTTCTCTTTTGGGAGCTCTGGTCCTTACCTTGAGCATAGCTTCCTGGCTCCAGTGCAGAACCCTCAGCCTGCTGGCACAGATCCTTCATCCCACGGGTGCAGACTTTCTAGCTTCCACCACTGACCTTTGGGCCTTCCCAGTGCTGATCCTTGATAGACTTGCATGAGACACTAATGGGCTCCAGGTCTTCAGCTGGACTTGTGCAGGACACTGCCATGGGATCCAGGCCCTCAGCTGGATTCTCTGGGTGTGGATAGATCTCCTGCATTCTTTTCTATTTGACCCTTTAGGTGACTATTATAATCCTGTAAATTACGTGTCCTGTGTTGCATCTTTTCCCTTGTAAATCCTGACTGTAACAGCTGTGAGCTGAGCTGGCAGTCAGCTGGTGGGCTGAGGCAGGATGGGCTGAAGGTCTGGGGTGTTCAGAGTGCAGTGTGATGCAGGTGAGGTCTGTCTGTAGGTGGGCCGTGGTGTGCAGTGCATAGCCTAGCCGCATAGAAACGTCACTGCCATTTCAATTTTTGGGCTACCTTTAACAATCATTGTTTTAGATTTTATAATTTCAGTCTAATTAGAGTGATTTTTAAAATCCATTTTATTTTAAGAGTAAAACGAAAAAAACTACAAGATTTCAAAACACATAAATCAGGGAGCAACAACGGCACATACATCGCATGGTGAAGAGTGATAACTTTGTAGCATTAAAACAAAGTAAAACCAAAACACAAGGAGTAGAAATGGCAACGTGGGGAGAAGAGAAACATGGAGAGGAGAAAGGAAGCCCTGAGTGGTGGCCACATATAGCCAGCATGAATAGATTTTAGTGGAAAGAATTGTTCTGTGGTGCTGGGGACTGAACCCAGGACTGACACACTGAGCTACATCCCCAGCCCTTTTTACAGTTTTGAGACAGGCTCAGGCTGGGCTCCAGCTCTGGTTCCTCCTGCCTCAGCCTCCGGAGTGCTGAGATTACAGGAATCTGCCATCATGGTTCCCCCCTTTCTTTTGTTCTGGTGTTTTGATCTGTGGTCTGTTTTGTTTTTTAAGACAGGCTGGCTTTAAACTCACTATGGAGCCCATGCTGGCCTTGAATTTGAGATGAGCCTCCTGCCTCAACCTCCTGAGTGCTGGGATTACAGGGGTGTGCCACCATGCCCAGCTTCTGCAAAGTGTCTACTTACGTTAGGGGTCAGACTCTTGGCGATGACAGGCCCGACCATGCCTGGGATGGTGGCGAACGTATTGGTGATGCCCAGCAGGATTCCGGCATACCTGGGGAGACAGTTCCAATGGCATGGTGTCACCTCCACATCACAGCAGGTCTACACTCCCAGCCTGAGTGATGTCTCGTGAAATGATTCACTGGACTAAAACCTCATATTCAGTAACACTTCTGCATTTCCATCGTCAGTCAGCATTTTAACATTACAGAGAGGCCCATAGCCATTGATAGAGAATGGCAGATTTCGAGCAGTGCTGATGGGATTTTGATACCTGCTCAGCCCTAGCTTATAGATTTTAAAGTGAAAAAATTTATTTCCCGATTACAAAATTAAAATTATTGAAAATTAAATAAAAGAGGAAAAACACTAAGAAAGAAAATAAGTCCCCAATTTACAATGAGTCCAGTTCTAGAAAAATGGTTTTAAATCAGACTTAGTTCCCAAGTCTGACAGAGTGAGTCTTACATGGTACACCTGTGGATGTTTGCAACTTGAATGCTTGAAATGTCAGGGACTTCACTGTACCTATAATTCCTCCACAAAGAGATGATTTTGGTAAACACCTGGATTATTGATATATATATCGAGAGCATATTTGTAACTGAAATTCCACAATTTACTTATTTTACTCTATATATTTGCTTATAGCTAAACTGTTGCACACTGGCCTAGCAGACAAGTTGTATGTATGAATATATGACAAAAAAGATATTTTTAATACATTTAGATGCAGTTTCTCAAGTGCAGTGATTTATGGTAAGGGTAAATCTCAGAGTGGAGATAGTCTCAATGTTTAGATGCAAATCTCGAATTTCTGGCTCTATATGGGAAATGCTAATGTCCTGTTGATTTCTCCAGTGTGTAATACAGGAAGAACTTAAAGACCTACGAAGGTTACCATGCCAGGATCTTTAGAAGTACCATCCTAACAAGAATGAAATGCTTATCTAGGGACGCCCTAGTAGAGCTGTCATCAGGAACCTGAAGCTTCCTGACCTGGCTCCCTGCTTTGGACCATGTGGCCTCAGGTGAGTTCCATCATCCCCAGGCTCACAGAGGTACATGTGACTCCCCGGCAGCCGTGGCTGAGCTCCTTGCATCTCACCAGCTACGCTAAAACACTCTTCCTCAGTAAGAATCCACAGCCCACCGGGGGACAGCGAGCTAAATGTTCACAAAGTCAGTACCTGAATTCACATCACCAGCACCTGATCCAGAATCCATCTGGATTTGCAATGACCTGGCCTGGTCCACTTCCACAGCCTCGTTTCCTGGTACTGGATGGTCACAGCTCATTCCAGTTTGCGCTCGTCTGCCCCGTTCATTCCTGTACCGTGCGTGCGTGCGTGCGTGCGTGTGTTTTCCTGGGCACTGAACTCAGGATCTTTGCGCCGTATCTTCAGGCCTTTTTTAAAATTTTGAGGTGAGATCTTGCTAAATTGCCTGGGGTGGGCTTGAGGTCTTGCTTTTCCTGTCTCAGCCTCACAGAGAGCTGGGGTTACAGGTGCACATCCCTATGCCCGCTCTATGTCCACTACTTAGATCCACCCTCCTTCCACACTAACCATTTGCTGGTCCGCCGTCTATGAAGCCTTCCTGTCAGTGCGTCCCACACTGGGCTGAGGCCCTGTCGTGCTCAGAGCAGCGCTATGTGCAGGTGTCCTCTAGGTCAGGTCTGCCGTCCGCCTGCAGTCTGTGCTACTGCCCTTTGCCTCGCCTGGCATGAGGGCAGCACTGTGCTCACAGAGTGCCAGCTGCGGGGAGGGAGGGAAGCTTGGGGGCCACAGTGGAGCAGGGCCACACTGGCCATGGCAATTTAGATCCACGTGGTCCAGTAGCTTTCCGGGCCCTGCACCAAAGGCACCCTCCGATCAGCAACATGCTCTGAACGGGGCTGCATAGCTGCAGCATTTGGAGAACCTACTGGGGCACTGGGCACTGTTAGAATTGTGTGTATTGCCTAGTTCATTTCTTTCCATTGCTGTCCCTAATTGTGGAAAACAAGGTGTCTGTCCTGTAAATATAGCTCAATTCTGGGTTTTGTAGATTGCACCCCTGATGATTGTATATGTGTTTTTGAGACGAGGGGTCTCATGATGCAGTTCAGGCTGACCTTGCATCCATTTTTGTATCCCATGGTGGCCTTGAACTCACAGTGATCCTCCTGCCTCAGCCTCCCAAATGCTGGAATTTTGGGGGTGCTCCACTACAGTGAGTTATCATTTAAGATAATTTTGTGTCCCATGTATTTCCAGCATATTGGTAGGATCTTAACTCTGTTTTTAGAGATGGCTTACTAAATTTAGGTTTGATATTTTGGGAAGAAAATTTAAAGGTGATAGGGAAGTTTAACTTCTAAACAATGTAGTTAAATGCCTGAGTGTGGGGGCACATTACTCTTAATCCCAGTACTTGGAAGGCTGAGGCAGGAGGATTAAAAATTCAAGGACAGGGACTGGGGATTTAGCTCAGTGCATAAGTGCCTGCCTTGCAAGCAGGCAGTTGTGAGTTCGATCCCTGGTACCAATAAAAAGGAAAAAGACAAAAAAAAAAAAAAAAAAATTCAAGGACAGCATAAGCAACATGTACACAGTGAAAGCCTATCTCAAAAACGAAACAACCCCAAACAAATGAAAAAGAAAAAAAAATAAACACTACAATAAAACTCAATATTCTATAAAATGGACATGTACTACTAGTAAAAAAATATTATGCCAAACATAATTGAGTTATTTATGAACACACACTTTTGGGTGTAAACCTGTATTTAAAAAAAAAAGCCCCCCAAACCAGATGTATATGATACAATAAAAAAACCACGAGGCACCGATCTTTTTGGCATCTCCCCTCCGGAGTGGATCTGAAATGCAGTACATTTGGCAGGGCCTGCCCCTCCCTCCGTCTCTAAACCATTTACACCATGGCAGGAGGAGGAGCCAGCCTCCGTTGCCAGGCTTTCCAAGGACAGCTATTAAGTGCAGGGAATGCTGTGAAATCCTATGCGTCAGCACCTGGAAAGTGAAAATGACTGCCTAGACTCTGCTCTGCCGCTGCCCTAGGCTCCTTTGGAGGTAAGAGATGGAAATCTGGCCACAAGACCACCCCCTGACAAATCTCTTTTTCAACCTATGGAAGAAAAGACTGGATAATACCATCAACGCAATCATACGCTAATGGAAATGCTGATGTGTGTATAGTAGGATACCCCACACTGAGCACAGTTAAGAAGCTTTTTTTCTTTCTTTTTGGTTTTGTTTTTTGATTTTGTGGACTCTCACTGAGCTATTATATCCTCAGTCCTTTTAATGTTTTTAGTTTCAGACAGCAGTTTACTAAGTTGCTCAGCCAGGCTTCAACTTGTGATCCTCCTGCCTCAGCCTCCTACTGTGCAGGGATCACAGACATGCACCACCATGCTGTTATATATTATTTCATTTCAGAGCAAACCATCACCATACAGTAGGGAGTATTATCTTCATTTATAGATAAAGACAGACTTACAAAGTTCTACCCAATATGTTTGATTCCAGGTCAGTACCTGATATTATGTTACATTCTACAGCATAATATTAATTTGAAAATTTTTTTGTACAGGAATTAAATTGAAGACCTTGTGCTTTTCTTTCAGGCAGGTGCTCATGCTGCTGTGCTATACCCCTGGCCCCATAATTTGAGGAGTTCTTTATTATTTCAGCTATCTCTAATCTTTTAGATTATCACTTAATTAAGTCTCCTTGAAATTAAATTGCTTTTAGCTTCTTTATATTCACCTCAAAACAATTTCAATATTTTATTTCATTTTTTTTTTTTAAATGTGAGGCTGAGACAGCCCGGGCAAGGCTCCTTTCTTAAATACCTCTCCCACACAGGACAGTCAGCCCCTCTACTCTAGGCTCAACTGAGGGAAGGTGGAGGGAACCAAGTCCACCTGCCAGGAAACAGAGCCAGTTTATTTCATTTTTTGAGATGGGGTCTCACTATGTAGTTAAGGCTAGCCTTGAACTCCCTCTGTAGCCCAGGTTGGCTCTGACTTTCAGATCCGCCTGCCTCAGCCTCAAATAGTTGGGATAATAGGGTTTCACCACCACAGCACAATGTCTTGAGCAAAATCTCATTGTGATAGACTATTTCCTTTCTGCTCTGCATCTCCTAGTGCCAGGAGCTGTCGTGTGGATATTTAGCTCAGTCTCAAACGGTCTCTATCCAACTTAGGTAGCCAGGAAAGTGAAGAGGTCCACAATACCAAGGTGAGTCAGTACAACATTACACATAGGATGGGCTGGGTATTTAGCTCAGTGGCATAAGCGCCTGCCTTGCAAGCGTGCAGTTGTGAGTTAGATCGCCGGTACCAAAACAACAACAACAACAAAAAAACCACATTACACACAGGAACAGAGGGAAGCTGCAGGAAGAAAGCAAGCAGCGATGGTCTAGAAAGCGCCATAAAGACCCAAGATGTGACCCAGCAAGGATGCAACCCGAGGTGCGGAAGGTGCTGTACAGCTTGGCAGGAGGCACTGAAAGGCCTCAGGCTCACCCAGGATGGGCACAGCAAGACCGTCATTTGTGGAACCTTCTTGGACTTCTTATTACTATCTTTTTGTGAGACAGGGTCTCAATATGTAGCCCAGGCTGCCCTGCAGTCTTCCTGCCTCAGCCCCCCCAATTGTTGGGGTCACAGGTGTGTGCTGCTACACCCAGCTTTGGGTTTTTATTTAAAGTGAGTGAGCGGAGGAGGAGGATTCCAAAAGTCCGCTGGAGCTCTCTGAAAAGCATGGAGTGGAGCTTATCCTGGAGCAGTTATAGGAGGGGGGCTGAGACTAATTGGAATCCTCAGGTTTGAACTTGAAGTATGAAGGACTTGTGGTAGGAAGCACGAATAAATCCATACTGACTGCTTTTACAAACTAAATATACTAAATCTTCTGGGTTAAGATATTTGCACACTCCCTGCCTTTACTTTATCAATGGGCAAAAGAGAAATTGAGAAGTTCGTGGCTCAGAGTATGCTTCCAGAGAGGTAGGAGCAGAAAGACCTTTGGGCTTCAAATTATGGTCCCATTGTATATTAGTCGTGATATATGGCAAACCCCTGAATTTCACTGAAGCCGAGTTTTCTTAGCCTTAAAATAATGCAAGAACACCCACCCTGCCGGGTTGCTGTAGGGTCAAGTGAGATGGTGCTGTGATAGGATCTGACTTTTACCAGGGGCTGACACACAGTGACAGAGTAGCTGGACCAGCCATGGGTCTGCTCTTCCACATTCCTCCTCCTAAATCGGTGTCCATCTTGGGTCAAACACCAGGGTGGGCCTGAAGACAGTCTCTAGCCTCCAGAGAGGCCCTCATCTGGCGAGGTGAAGAGACAATGTATGATGTTTTACTGGAATGCTCTTATGAGAACACTGATCAGAGGTAATGGTAGTTAAAAGTTTAAATTTGCTGGGTATGGTGACACAGGCTTATAATCCTAGCTACTCAGGAAGCTGAGGCAGGAGAATTGCAAATTTGAGGTCAACCCAGGCAATTTAACGAGACCATGTCTCAAAATAAAAAATACAAAAATAACCCCCCCCCCACCTGCTGGGAAGAAAAAAAAAAAAAAAAAAAAACTGGCTAGGGATGCAGCTCAGTGAGCAGGCCTCAGTTCAAAGCCCAGTACTGGAACAAACAAAAACTTTCCAGCTTTAATTGCTGCGTCAATTGAAACTCTATAAGGAATTTGAAGTCCAATTCACAGAAAGTAGAACGAGCGATGCCAGGGAATGGGAGGAGGCGAATGGGTGCCAGCACCAAACAGATGTAGAGTTTCAACAGTAGAAGATGTGAACTGTGGAAGGTTGTGTTGATAGTGTTGGCTACACAACGATGTGAACACTTCATGGCACAGAGCTGCACTCTCAGTCATGGCTGAAATGGTAAACTTCATGTTACATACAGGTGACCACAACTCTTAGAAAAAGGAAGTTAGAGTTGACCACAGCCAACTCTTATGGCATGTACTCACGAAGGAGCAATGTCCAGATGGTTGATGCTAAATCCAGAAGAGCAAAGGCCTCCCAGGGTTGTTGAAATAGTCAGGAATGCGACAGCCAAAGAATAGTCACAGCCTATAAATCCAGCAGCCACCAGGAACACCGCAGGCCCAATCATTCCTGAAGGAAAACGTTGGAGAAGGAAAAGCAGCACCAGCATTCACATTTGTCCTCTAAAAATGGCATGGAGCTGAAATCTGATACCCAATGCCACCTGCTATATAAACATGGAACTGACCTCGTTTCACATAAAACTTGAGTTTAGAAAACATACAGGGTATTACAACTGATGTAACAAGAAAAGGAAAAGTCATCATGCAGTGTTACTAAGTCTGCCCCTGACCTGGACGCAGCTGAAGGTTTGCCGTTTTAGAATATATTTTTAAATTTATTTTTATTTTTTATTTTTTGCAGGGTTAGAATATTAAGAGAATGACTGAGGCCAGCGTGGTGGTGCACTCCTGTAATCCCAGCAGTTAGGAGGCTGAGGCAGGAAGATTGCCTCAAGTTCGAGGTAAGCCTGGGCTAGTGAGTTCAAAGCTAGCTTGAACTGCATGGCAAGACTCCGTCTCAAAAAACAGAAAACAAACAAACAAAACAAAAACACAAAGAATGCTACATCGTGGTTCTAAGGATTGATAACTAGTGGCATAGGTCACTGTAGGCAGTTAAAATCAAATGCAAGACAGCTATCAGCCCTTCTACACTGACAGCAGTGCTACCTAGTAACTGTGATAATTAAAATATATCTGTATATACTGCAACTGAGGAGCTTTGTTAATAAGGTTCAATAGCCCCATGTAGCCAGTAGTAACTACAATACTGCACTGATCAGGTCTACAAAAAGCTACAGAGGAGAAAGGCAGATAGAATTCAAAGAAATTTCTCTTATTTCTGGCCGTGGAGTCAGAGTAATTAAGCATGAGGACCAAAGAGTGTCTTTCAGCAGCAGGTGCTCAATAGGGTTTGCTGAATGAACTTGGATCAGGTCCTTCTACAGTGTGATTACCTGTGTACAGCCACTACTAACTTCCAGAGTTTCAAATTAATGAGACCTTTAAAAAGTTGAGTAAACTGTCTCAGCTTTAAATTTTAGCTTCCTGAAAGCAGGATCTAAAACACAGGATTACTTAAGATTCCTTTGAGATCTCTGATTTATAGCTCTTCACTTGTTATAATGGTGTTAATAAACAGTTTACTTATTTTTTAGTAAACAGTTTTGAAATTTAAAGTGTATTAATTTAGCCAGGCTGTAATTACAGCACTCAGGAGGCTGAAAGTCAACAACGCAACAAAAACAAGAATAGCACTGTAACAAAAAACAATTAAAGGTGTTGGTGGGGAATCCATTGCAAACTTCTAGCTAAAAACCAAGTGATGTATAAAATTCTAGGGTTGAGGTTCATCAAAGTAAGCCATTTTTTATAGTTATAGGCTATGGTGGAAATAATATACAATCTTTTTTGGGGTTACATTGATCATTGAACCCAGAGCCTTCACACTGAGCTATATCTCCTGTACTTTTAAAAATTTATATTTTGAGACAGGCTTTTGCTAAACTGGAAAGTTACCCAGGGTAGGCTTGAACTTGTGATTTACCTATCTCCTAGAATTCTGGGATTACAAGGACTGTGCCACTATGTCCAGCTAGAATATTATTATTATTATTATATTATTATTATTTTGGTGGTGCTGGAGGTCGAACTCAGGGTTTTCTGCATGTAAGGCAAGAGCTCTACCATTGAGCTACATCCTCAGCCTGAAGCTAGAATATTATAAACCTTAATTCTCAAAATATATGGCTTCAAAGAATTACCATAAATGAGAAATGTACAAAAAGATTACTATCGTTTTAATTTTTCCTTGCACTGTTGGGTACTGTGAAAGAACTATGTATTTGGTCTCTGCCCCTGATTCTTGGCACACAGTCCCTCAAATCCTTGGAATCTCTGGTCTGATGATACTATTTTGTTCTTCTAAGAGTTCACTGGTGGCAGTGGGGGAGCCTCAGGGGAAAGTGGTCACCAAGAGAGACCAGGACAGGACCAATGGGTTAGGACTTTCACCCCTACCCCAATCTCTGATCTCAAGGGAGGAGAGAAGTGGAAGGCAAGTGACTTACTCGGCACTGCCTGCATAGTGAAGCATCTGAAAAGTCCCCAGAGCTGAATGAGTCTGGAGGACCCTCTCATGCAGACATTTGCCAGTGTGGTGCTGGGGAGACAAGGATGCACCCCACGGAGCCTGCCCCTCTTGCCCTCAGCACCTCTTCAGCCTGGCTGTTCCCTCCTAAGAAACCGGGAGCCAGCAGTGTCCACTTGAGCTTCTGGAGCTGCTCTCCTGCCTGGGTCATGGCAGCAGGAGGTGGAGCTGCCCACGAGGACAGGTCTTTCCCTGGATCTGTAGGTGACAGCTGAGGTGGAGGGGCCAGGTATCCTCAGCCAAACTGGGGCTGTGGGAAACCCCAAACGTGCTGGGGAGCAAGGAAAGGCTTACTGGGTTCCACAGTGAGTGCAGGCAAGAGGGGAACACAATCCTTACCCCCAGTAACCATAAACCCAAATAAAACCTGATTAACTTCACTTACCAGCAAGTGTGAAAGATTTGCGAACACATACAGTTGAAAACTTCCATTTTGCCCTTAAGCTGTCAGCAGTCTGACCAGACAGGATCATGCATAACCAACAGCCAAAGTAAGGCAGTGCAGACAAAAACCCGTTCTGGAAGGAAGAGGGAGATCCAGGTGTAACTACGACCTAAGGAGAAAACAAAGCACACGCACGCACGCACGCACAGACCAACTCGAAACCACGGCCACTTGGAGACAAGAAATGCACAGCAAGACTCTGCTAAGGTTTCTATAGGGACAGTAAATACACGTGGCGTGGAAGGGCTGCGGGGCCTCCAAAGTGCCAGGCAATCCCGCTGCTCCTTTGGAATTTGCCTTGTGGGACAAACAGGCCTTCAGATTAGCCCGTGGTTTCTCTTCACTGAACGGTTTTTGTCCGCAGTACGATTTATTTAACAATGTAAAAATTTATTTATTGTATTTATTTAAAATTCATGCTGAAAAGTAAAATGCACACACAGAGAACCACATAAGTCAAACATAAAGCTTAGTAAATTATCCTAAAAACCATCTAGGTCAAGATACAGAGCTAAGTCTTTTTTTCTGTCTGAGAGAGCCCAGGCTGGTCTCGAACTCACAGCAGTCTGCTTGTCTCAGCCTCCCAAGTGCTGGGATTACAGGTGTGAGCCACCACACCCCGATTATGGTGGTTTTTTGATTTACTATTGTCTTGTTTTGAAGTCCTTTATTGCATTTGTTGTTTTACTTTTATTGTTTCTATTCTATTGTTTGATTTTTATTGTGTCTGAAGGTATCTGAAGCTATTTTGAAGACAACAAAAGGCATTATGTTAACTGTTGTTGATTTATTTTGAGACAGGATCTCAAACAAGCCCACTAAATTGCCCTGGCTGGGTTTGAACACATAATTCTCGTGCCTTAGCCTCCCAGGCTGCTGAGAGTAAACATGTACATAACCACAGCCAATTATGTCTACTATTTGTGCCAAATTCTACAGTGTAAACTATAACAAATCAGACAAGGTGGGGCATGATGGTGCGAGCCTGTGATCCCAGCACCTGAGAGGCTGAGGCGAGAGGATTGCCGTGAGTTTGAAGCCAGTTGTGGCTGCTCAGTGAGTTCAAGGTCAGCCTGAACTACATAGCAACACCTGTCTCAAAAAATAACATACAAACAAAACCAAAAAAACCCCTCAAGTCAGACAGGTGAATTTTCTGATTTTTGTTTTGTTCCCTCAGGAGGTAAAAGTATAATCCTGGGGCTGGGTGTGGTTACACAAACCTGTAATCCCAGCACTGAGGAGCTGAGGCAGAAGATTTGAAATTCAAGTGCAGTCTGGCCAATTTAGTGACACTTTGTTTCAGAAAAAAGAATAAATAACAGGCATGGTGGCACATGCCTGCAATCCCAGCCCTCAGGAGGCTGAGACAAGAAGACTGCTGTGAGTTCGAGGCCAGCCTGTGCTACAAAGGGAGCTCAAGGCTACCCTGAACTGCATAGTGAGACCCTGTCTCAAAAAGACAAAAAAAAAAAAAAAAAAAAAAAATTAAAAGGGCTGTGTGCAGCTCAGTAGTGGAGTACTTCCTAGTGTATGTAAGGCCCGGGGTGCAATCCTCTGTATCACAAGAACAAACAAAACAACAAAATCAATGTTTAAATATTAATATGATAAACGGGGTAATATATATCACCTCAACTCTTCTTAAGTTGTTAAAAATTCGAGACACAAAATTGAAAAAAAACTAGGAAAGAAGTGAGAGTAATCTAACAAAACTAAATTTATATGAAAATAAAATAAGACAAAGCTTTGTAATAAGCTTTGTAATAAGATAAAGCTTTCAAATTTAATAAATTTGAAACGGGGTGTGGTGTGTAAAGCTTTGTAATAAGACAAAGCTTTCAAATTTTTAAGAGAGAATTTTACATACTGTGCTTGTCAAAACAAGCTTTATTTTCAACAAAGACCACTTAGTAAACACTGATTTAAAAAACCAAACAAAATATTAATCCAGGCCTGATGGCACACATGTGTAATCCTAGCATTCTGGGAGGCTGATGCAGGAGAATTGTATGTTCAAGCCTAGGCAACTTAGTGAGATGCTATTTCAAAAAATAAAAAATAAGGCTGGGGATGTGGTTTGGGGTGAAGGCCCTGGGTTCAATCCCCAGTAATGATAACACACATACACACACACAGGAAAGAGGCTTCTATACTGCTATGTATTTCCAAACTCTATTTCCGTTTCACATGAGTCAGTGCTAGGGGTGAACCCGAGCTCATGGGTGTGGGGCAAAGGCTCCTTCACTGAGCTACACACCGGCCGGGTTCTGCTATCAATTGTCTTGGCTATAGATCTAGGAATTGCTGGGTCATACAAGTCTGTATTCAGTTTTTTTTTTTTTTTTTTTTTTTTTTTTTTAAAGGAAGTGGCACACTGTTTGGCATAGTTGCTGGGTTTTTTTCTTTTTCTTTTGGTATTTTTTGAGGCAAGGTTTCATTATATGGTTCAGGCTGGCCTTGAACTCATTATGTAGCCCTGGCTGGCTTTGAACTCACAGTGATCCTCCTGCCTCAGCCTCTCGAGTTCTGTGATTACAAGTGTGTGCCACCATGTCCGGCTTTGGCATAGCTTGTATTTTACATGGCCACCACCGATGTGTGAATGCACCGATTTCTCATCCTCACACACTTGCTATTTGTGTGTGTTAACATCCTAGTGGGTGTGAAGTAGCATCTCTGTGGTTTGCACTTTCCTAGTGACTAATGAGGTTCACCATCTTTACATGTGCTTATTGGCCATCTGTGTATTTAGGAGCAATGTTATTTGAGTCTCTTTGACCATTCAAAAAACTGAGTTATCTTTTTAGCTGTCACTAAATTGGCTGGGCATGGTGGCACACACCTGGGAGGCTAAGGCAGGAGGACTGCTACAAGTTTGAGGCCAGCATGGGCTACAAAATGAGACCCTGTCTCAATACAAGAATCACCCCTAAAACTGGGTTGCCTTTTTATTACTGAATTGTAAGACTTCTTAATATACTCTGGATATTTGACCTTTATTAATGTATGACTTAAAAAATGTTTCCTATCCTTCACTGGGTTGCCTTTTCATATCTTGTCTTTTGATGTATGAGAGCTTTTAAGCCAGGATCTCACCATGCAGTTCAGGCTGGCCCTGAACTTGCAGTGATCCTCCTGCATCAGTCTCCTGAGTGCTGGGATTACAGCCATGTGTCACTATGCCTTGCACGTTTTTAATTTTGAAGTTCAATTTTAATTTTAATTTTGAAGTGTGTCTATTTTCTCTGGCCACTTGTGCATTTGGGGTCATGAAGATAACAGTTCAGGACAGTCAGACAAGACACCTTGGAGTAGGAGCTAATGAAGGGCTGGGTGTGGAGCTTCCAGGAAGAGCACGTGACAGACCCTAGGTCCTCTCACCTGCAGAAAACCAAACCAGACACATACTGAGAGAAGGAACCACAGCGAGGCAGAACAGAGAAGTCTAACATAGAGCAGGACAAAGTGAGAGAGACTTTCCTGAAGATGAGAGCTCCGCATGTAGCTTTAACATACATGTTTTTATATAAGAAGCTCAAGACTGTTTTTCTTACCTCTTGAACATTGAACCTCAGGATCTCCTTCATGTAAGTAGGCAGCAATGTCAATAAAGTATAGAAAGTCCAATTATAAGAAAAATGTGCCACGACAATAGCCCAGAGTGGCAGTGATTTTAGAATGGGAATCCAGGGCACCGACTTCTGCGAAGAGAGCTGAGGAAATGGCAAAATCAGAGGGAGTCACAGCTACGAAGTGTCCACCTCTGACCCCGCAGCTGCACCTCCATCTGGGACACGCACCCCAAAGCAACCTTGATTGGCAAATCTGAGATCTGAAAACCCGCTCCTCTAGGATATTAAGCAGCACAACAGGACTAACATAGGTCAGATCAGCAGCCCCCACTTCGCTCTCCATGGGGGTCCCGGGTTCAGTTTCTGTCTAGTGAAGGGAATCTGTGGCTTTTTAAACGAATTTTCATTAAAATAAACCTCATGAGGGGGCTGGGGATTTAGCTCAGTGGCATAAGTGCCTGCCTGGCAAGCACGAGGTCATGAATTTGATCTCCAGCACTACAAAAAACAAAAACAAAAAAAACCTCATGAGACTGACCGTGTCTTCAAGATTCCTGAGAACACTCCACAGGAGCGACTTCTAGTAACAGCAGCTCAGGAGGGGAGCCGCTGGTTTCTCCTCCTGCATCAGTCAGCTGTGGCATCAAAGAAAGCGCCCAGACTGTGGCCCACTGCAGATGCCCAGGCTCGTCAGGCAGCCTTGCTAGGCTAGTAAGTCATGACTGATTTTCAAGTGACAACAAAAGGTTTTTCCGATTTAAATTTAAATTTCATGCCAGGAGTGAGAGGCTGAGGCAGGAGGATCACTGGAGTTTGAGGCTGGCCTGGGCTACATAGTGAGTTCAAGGCCAGTCTGACCCACATAGTGAAATAAACAAATGAGTATTTCCTGTATCTACTTTCTGTTTCTTCTGGGCCTGGTACTGTGCTGGACCATAGTGCACACATGAAGGTAACCGTGGATACACAGACCTGCGTGGTCACTCTGTGAGCCCTGCCCGCTTAAGGAGGTAACAAGATAAAAGAGTCTGGAGATTTCTGTTCTGGGAAGATTTTTACATTTCCTATAAACTGAAGCAGTGTGATTCATTTCTCAAAAGCAACTGCAATCTATGTTTCTGCCTCTAGATTCATTACCATTTTAGAAAGAGGAAGAACCCATATTAACTTTCATGTGGCCTTCTTCCTGGGGACATTTTTCTTTGTATGGTGGTACTGAGAGTTGAATCTAGGACCTTGTACTGAGCCCCAGCCCTTTTTTTGTTTACTTGATATATTAGTGTCTTGTTAAGTCACTAAGCTTCCTAGGCTGGGTTCCAAAGTGCCATCCTCCTGCCTCAGCCTCCCCAAGTACTGGGATGACAGGTGTTTGCCCCTACATTGGATTCTAGGGGCTTTTTATTTGCTTTGTAGACACACTTTTGCTTCCCAGTATATAACAAAGACATAAAGAACACAAGGAAAGAACGCATTTATTCTTTTAGAAACGGTTAATTCTGACTGTTTTTTAGATTTACCTCCAACTCTTTCAAAATTATAGCTGCCCACACTGTACCCTAGACTTACTGAATAAGCAGAACAGAACAGAAGAATCTACAGTGCCAAAGAAGGTAACTTTTAAAAGGGGTCAGATTACTCTGAAGTGCAAAGGATCCTAAACTTTATTGAGCATCAGAATTATCCACAGTGGTGCATGCCTGTAATCTCAGCAATTGGGAGGCTGAGGAAGGATGACTGCAAGCCAGTATGAGGTCAGCCTGAGCCATACAGTGAACTGAAGGACAACATGGACTACACAGTGAGATTCTGTCTCAAAAAACAAAAAACAGGGCTGACGATTTAGCTTAGTGGTGTAAGTACTTGTTCAGCAAGTGTTAGGTCTCGAGTTCAATCACGAGTTCAATCCCTGGTAGCAAAACAAAAAAATGCAAGACACCAGAAACCAAACCAAACCAAATCCAAAAAGAAAGAAACATAGAAAAAAATACCCTTCTCCCAAAGTATCTTTTAGACAAACTCCTTCAAGGGTTTAAGGCAGCACTAACACGACGCTCCTGCAGGGGTGGAAACTTGTACTTGTGTTGTCCAACATGGTAGCCAGTGACAAGTGGCAGCCTGCGTCCCTCTGGGTGACAGAGGAACTCTGCGGTCTGTCCTCGGTGTGCTCTTCACCCGGGCTGCTTCTGCACACGTCAATCACCAGCAGCTGTGGCTCGGCTGGGCTCGGGGTGGCAGCAGCCCGGGGATGACCCCCCCCTCCCCGAAACCTCCGTACAGGCCCCGCCCTCAGGGAGAGCGTGGAGACAGCGGTCCGCCCAGCCAGGCCACGGGTTTCCTGCGGCCCCTCAGCGAGGAGGGCGGCCACAGGGAAGCCGGGCTGTTCCGGAGTCAGGGCGGAGCGTGACTGAGCCCCAAGGACAAAAACGTCAGAAAAAATGGAAAAGCCAGGGCCTTTCTTTCCTAGCTAATCCGCGACTGCTGTGTTCTTACCAACCAACAACTAGCCCCACCTGCTGGAGAAAAATTAAAACTGTCACTCCTAAAAGCAGCGCGAAGTCCAGAACCAAAGCCCAGCCTTCAGCAGCTCTCGCTAATCAGTCACGAGCCCCTCCGGGGCGCCCCCTGCCGGCTCCTCCCCTGCTGCAGCCAATCCAGACCCGCACCGCGCCGGGAGGCCGCTCCCCGGCACCCTGAAGGCCCTGGCATCCATGTGTCTCCCGGCGGAGACCACAGGCTCAGGCTAGCCACGGTACCCAGCGAAGGACCCAAGTTCTCAAAAAAGAAAAAAAAAGTTCAAAGGCTGAACACAGTGGAAGAGATTCTGCACACCTCTCGGACCCGAGGCCTCAAGGGGGCGCTCCGCGGAACACGGCACCATTATGTTTGGAGAGAGTCTCGTTACTTGCCAAGGCAGGATCTCGCTGCCTCCGCCTCTGGTTTACTGGGATCAGAGGTGTGTGCTCAAATCATTTTGTAATGTTTTCAGTGACATCATTTCCTCTAAGAATGCAAACTGGGGTTTAATGAAACCTAATCCTACTGACTTCTTATTTCTGAAAATTGTATTTTCTGAAGCACATGGATAAACCAATTAGGCCGGGTGTGGTGGCACATGCCTGCAATCCCAGGACTCTGGAGGTTGATGCAGGAGGATCATTGCAAGCTCGAGGCCAGCCTGGGCTACAAAGTCAGTTCAAAGTCTGTCTGAACTAAAAAAAAAAAAAAGAAACAAAGAAAAATCAACTGGGTTTGGACATTAGTCAGATTAAGATATGTGGCATGGTTCACAAAGTTTTTTGTTTTGTTCTCTGACACATGGTCTTGCCATGTTGTTCAGTCTGGCCTTGAAGTCACTATTAGCCCCAGATGGCCTCCAACTCCTGGCACGCCTGTAATCCCAGCACTTGAGGAGTGCTATGTATTAAAATTTAACATGTCAGTCACACTAACAATGTGCAAAAAAATGTTTTACACAAGATATTTAATGTTGTTAAGCCAATAAAGTGACTTTGAAGGCAAAAGACTGCCAACAAAAGCCAGGCATGGTAATTATCATCTACAACCCCAGCACTCAGGAGGATGGGGCAGGAAGATCTCTGTGGGTTTAAGGCTAGCCTGGACCTCATAGTGAGACACTATCTCAAAAAACAAAACAAAGAGCCTGGCGTGGTGGCTAGCGCCTGTAATCCCAGCACTTGGGAGGCTGAGGCAGGAGGATCATTATGAGGACCAAAATGAGCCCCTGCCCAGACACCAGCTGGACTTCTAACAGTTGATAACAATAAGAAAGTTATTCAGTTCTCCCTACCCCTCCCCCCTTTTTTGAGAGAAGAACTCACCATGTAGCCCAGGCTGGCCTTGAACTCACAGCGACCTTCCTGCCTCAGCCCCTCCCCAGCACCCGTGTTGGGATCACAGGTGTGCACACCATGCCTGGCTGATATCTTAATTCTGAAGAGAAAAAGTTCTGAAATCTTTTTCTTTTCTTTCTTTTTTTTTTTGGTACTGGGGATCAAAATCATGACCATGTGCTTGTCAGGCAGGCGCTTATGGTACTGAACTAAATCCCCAGCTGAAATTATTTTCAAAATGTGCCAAGCCTATACCTGACTTTTTAATGATGAAGTGATGTAGTCCTTTTCATGACTGGAGATTGTCTTGTGTGTTTCTGGTGTGTCACTAACTCTCCAGATCCACAAAATAAACCAAAATATTCCGAGTATACCTTAAAACAGAAAAATAAAAAGTTAGATCAAAGTTAGAATTATCAACAGTGATTTTTGTATGTCCCAACAAAATTATGTAATATAAATTTAGTGTAAATTAACTTCAACTTCAAGTTTCATTTCTTTAATGGAATGATTGTATAATTATACTACTTTATATATATCTGTATCTACAGATATAGATATATATATATATTTTTGTCTTTTTGAGACAGGGTCTCACTATGCAGTTCAGGCTGGCATTGAACTCACTTTGTAGCCCAGGCTGATCTGGAACTCACAGCAATCCTCTTGCCTCAGCCTACAAGTGCTGGGATTACAGGTGTGTACTACCACGCCCGGCCCTGAAGAAAATTTTTAAGGAAATGGGTCTGTCTGTCTTATAAGGAAAATCTTTTGAGAACAAATTTCTGCAACCTACGTATTCTTAAAGACATTTACTTTGTTTTTTTAAAATTATATATTCCCTATATAAAATGCTGATGTGAAAATCTAAATCTGCCATGAATTTGTGAAATGAAGTACCATGGGAATAAATAAAAGGAAAGAGAAAAGATTAAAACAAGTGAGAGTATCCTACTTTGCTTGGGAATATTCTCAAAACACACTTTTCTTTCTTTTTATTTTTTGGAACCAGGGATTGAACTCATGACCTTGCACTTGCCAGGCAGGCACTTGTGACATTGAGCTAAATCCCCAGCTCTGAAAGACACACATTTTTCTAATACTGAAGATGGTAACATTTGATGATCTGACACTGAAGTCCATAATTCAACAGTAGTTTCTACTGAGAAATATTCCAAGAATCACATCAAGCCTTAACAAGACAAAGCCCTTTTAACCACATCAACCTGAAAAACAGGTTGAAATATACAGAGAGTAGAAATATACATTTTTGGCTAATTATTATACCATTATTATAGTTTTTATTTGTTGCATGGTAATTTAGGTTAAAAATTTAAACTTACCAAAAAAATAGAAGACATAAGTCCAATTCATATAGTAGCAAATTATTCCAGAGAGAGGAAGTGAAATCACTGTTCCAAGCTGTGCTCCTACAACAACACATAAGACTTCATTAGCTTTGGAAGGAGACGAACAGAGAAGGAACAGGTCTGACGGGGGTGCAGCTCAGCAGAGAGCACTTGCCTTGCAGGCATGACAGCACCATCTACCTAAATAGACAAAACAGGCTAGGGAACAGGTGCTAAAGGACAAAAAGAACTGCTAACATCCTAAAAGAGTTAGATTAACCACATGAAAATATAAGCATTACATTCTTCAAAGGGATCATTTTTCAGAAAACTTGCATCAGTTGCCAGCATAGACCTGTTAAGAGAGTGATGGAGCAGGCACCTGATGTGCTAGAAATCTAGGGGTCTGGGGCAAAGTCTCCACGATTGATACAGCGACAGTCTGTTATGGTATACTTGCTGAAATAAGAATGAAGCTTATCTTACAATGATTGCTTCAAGGCACATAAACAATAAAACAAAAGCATTTTAACCATCCAATGTAGGATGTCTTATTAACAACAATGGGAGCTAAGGGGATGAATCGGGTATTATTTATGGTCCTGAGTTTCAGACTTAGAAGGTGGTGTCAAGAGAGGGTTAGGAAGTGTTAAGTGTCGTGGTGATGAGGACCCCAGAGATAGGAGATACTATTTCTAACCTCCAGGGGTGAGGAAAAGATAAAAGCACATGTGGCATATGGACTTTTTTTTTGCGACAAGGTCTTGCTATGTATCTGTCATTTGATCCCAAAGAAAAGAGGTTAGAAAGAAGATACACAGGTAGTGAGCAGGATATGTAAGAAAACAGTGGATTTGGGAACTTGGGTGAAGAGAATGAACAGAAAATTAAGGTTAAGAAAATCAGGTTGAGGCAGGTGTAGTAGCGCATGCCTGTAGTCCCAGCACTTGGGAGGCTGAGGCAGGAGGATCACTGCAAGTTCGAGACCAGCTTAAGCTACAAAGTGAGTTCAAGGCCAGCCTGAACTGCACAGTGAGACACTGTCTCAAAAAGCCAAAAAAAAAAAAAAATCAGGTTGAATGATTGGTGCATAGCTGACTCCATGCCAGGCCCCAGGTGGATGGCATGACGTGGTGAAGACTAAAACCTTGAACCCAGGAATTTGGACTTACTTTGGTACAGAGAGGAGACTGTTCCAGAACTCATCATCAGATTTGCCATATCAATCTCTTTACGGCTTCAAGAAAGGTCTTAAAATTAAAACAGGATCTTGTCTCTTACTTGATTAGGTGTTTTGGGGAAATGTATACATTCCTTTCTGTAGCTAGTAAGGTTTGATATGATCAGCTCTTGTGCATTTTTCTAATTTCATCTTAGGCCACGGCTTTCTTTACTCATCACATTCTGTGAGCTGCAGTGGCCTTTCCTGTGGACTGTTATCTTATTTCCTGCCTGAGAGCACTCATACATGTTGTTTTGGTGTCTGGAATGCTCTTCTCTCTACTCTGCTCTTTGCGTGACTGGTTTGTTCTTCTTGAGCTTTTAGCTTCAATGTCAACACAGACAGGCCTTTCTCAAAGGAGCCAAGTGGAAAATTTCCCACCTGACCCATGGAAAAAAAGGCCAGAAGTTTTTCTGTAGTCTGGTAAAATAGAATCTAAAGCTCATACAAAGCTCATGTTATCTATCCCAAAATGATGTCAATCAAAATGATGCCAAAGAAATGATTGAAGAGAAAGGTTAAGAATCATGAGATGCTCATAACATAATCAAATCAGAAATAACATAATCAAATCAGAAATCACAATTCAGGGGTGACTTTCCAGCTATTTTTATTTATTTTTCCAAATAAATGCCACATACCAACATTTGAAAAGACAACATACTTTGCAGTAAATGGTGGCACATGGGGAAGATAATATTAGTTAACTAAGGCAAATTACTATGTACTGCTGAACCAAAAAGAAAAATTAATAATAAAGTTATAACCCTTCTACCAATATTGCATGATTCTGGCTGGTAGGCACTTCACTCCCAAGGTTGGCATACATAATAAATTACAGCAAAAATTCTGTAAGAATTGTTTTCTTACCTGCATATGAGATGCTGAGAAGTTTGCTTCTTTCAAGTGGAGGAGCCCATGAAGACCACATGGCGTGCATGGCTGGGAAGGTGACACCCTGGGGAGAGGAAGTTTCAGATGAAATACAAGTTAGCCGTGTCAGTGTTTTCAATTAAATGCAGTGTTTTGTTACAAAGGAATTTTTTTTGGATAAGAATCAAACCAGATTTAGGCTCCATGAAGTGAAATGTCCTTATAGAGTTAAGTGAAAATACCTTTCAATGAAGTGCTTTCAAAATAAACAATGATTCAGGGGTTTTTGAACTGGTTTGGGGACTGCAAGGTAAGAGTTACAATAAACCTGAATGAATGTTCTGAGTGACGACATAAACAGATCGCTTTCAAGGTTTATTTTACTTGTTCTCTTTATTAATGGCCTGGAAGTAAAACGTGAATGGTACCAATTTGTAAGTTTTAAAGATACTGGGCTAATACTCTGGAGGATCTCAGAAGTAAGAGGATGAATTCAGGGAGAGTCTCAGGTCGCTTCCCCTCACAATCACTGGCTTGGTGAATGCGGACTGCTTGAAGGGGTGAGGAAATGGGGTGTGGTGAGGAAGGGGCACGTGAAGAGGCACTGCAGAGAGGGGAGAGAAAGGTTCTAGTGGCTCCCTGGCCTGTGCCTCAGGACTGGTCAGTCCTCCACAGTGCCTTATCTGTGAAACAGACGTGATCCTCCCTATAATGAATGACTGCTGCAAAAATAAATGGTAGTTATTTTTAATAACAGTGGAAAATACATGTCTTAAAAATGTGTACTTTCTGCTGATTCTTCCAAAAACGAAAAGGAAGAAAGAAATAACAATGGAAGACAAAGATGATTTAGATTACATGGAAAATCATATCATAGAGTGTTCATGGGCAAATCATTATAACACACAATTAAGGATGCTTGGAAGTGCTAACAAAGAGTATCTTAGAGTTTTATTACAAAACCCAAGGGAGAATGCAGGTATGTTTATAGTAAGTTAGGATCTGATGACTGGAGAAAGAAGAGAGAACCTAAGTCTAACTACAATTTATATTCTACTTAGAAACACAAGGTGTTGTTGTAGACTCCTGTAATCCCAGCATTTTGGAAGCTGAAGCAGGGGGATCACTATGAGTTTGAGACCAGCCTAAACTACAAAGTGAGACCCTGTCTGTTACCCCATCAAAATATCCTATATAGAAATAAGCTGGTCCTCTGAGATAGTAGTAGAGAAGCAAGCAATATGCTATAATGTTAAACACAGAGCGGCATAAATACACAGGAAGCAAGAAAATATTCAGCAAGGAAATTCAATAGTTGAATAAAGAAAATATATTACTGAGTAAATATATTTTACTTAGGTAAGAAGAGGAGAAACTGGTAATACAAGGGTAATTTTTACTTTGCAATCAGCAGGGTTTATTTAATAGACTTCTATTGATAAAGATAAAAAAACTCTAGAAGGAGTTACAATTGGCAATTTTTAAAGCATTCTAATAAAATTGATCACAGATAAGCCTTAAACCTACCTTGTGGCTGAGGATAGGCAGGTATTTAAAAATAATCGAACTGAGGTCTAGGAGTTAGGATGTACCCAAGGTTTGATCGCTACATAGAGTGGAGCTACCGTTTCAACTCTGATTTTCTGCCTCTTCTCATCCATTGTGCTTTCCAACATGGCAGAGCACAATGCTATCTAAATACATCTTATAGTATCTATATATCAGAATATAAGCTACTTCCGGGCAAGCATAAGGTCATGAATTTGATTCCTGGCACCAATAAAAAAATACAAGCTACCATATTGCCTGGCTGTCTAAAGAAATGCAAGACAAAAATAAATCTGCCTGAGTTTTAAAGGCAGAAGTTCAAAATTACAAAGGAAAGGAAATTGTTATTTAAAAATGGAAGTATACAAAAGAGATGGACAGCACTGTACAAAAGAGATGGGAGGCTGAGGCAGAAAGATAGCTACAAGTTCAAGGCCAGCCTGGGCTACACTGTGAGTTCTAGGTCAGCCTGAACTGCATAGTGAGACCCTGTCTCAAAAAACAAAAGGAGAGAGATGGAGAGAAAAAAAAAGGTAAGAATTAAGAAATTTTATTTTCAGTACTGGGGGTCTAAACTCAAGGCCTTTCCACCGAGCTACACCCCAGGCCTTTTTCATTTTTTTGAGATACAGTCTTGCTAAATCCTAATTCCAGGCTGGGCTGGATTTGTGATCCTCTTGCCTCAGCCTCCCAGAATGTTGGAATCCTAAGTGAGTCCTACCACACCCTGCCTGCCTCTGTTAACTTTTGTTCTAACTTGTTATGGCCCACTGTTTCTTTCTGGCTTATATTCACACTGAAATCTTTAAGAAGTGAGAAAGTGAGGCACAGATAAAATTTACCTCCCCCAGTCCTTCCAGTGCTCTGAGCACAATGAGTGGCACGGCACCTAAATCTGCAGCAATGGGCGTCAGCAGTGTGAAGAGAGCGGTGCCGAGGATCCCGTACCCGAGCAGCAGCTTTCCGCCCATTTTGCTGGCAAAATACCCTCCAGGGATCTGTGTGATGATGTAGCCATAGAAAAAAGCACCGAGAATCCATCCTTGAGTTTCCGCATCCCACGCATACCTCTTACCCTGGAAAAAAGCACAAGGAGAAACCAATTCTTTTAAGACCTTGATTAAACAGCTCCCTTCTCTCAGTGCACATAAATGAAAATGTAAGTCATCCTGTGAATCCTGGGAGTGCTGGCCTACATCCCTACTGCTTTCAAAATTTTATTTTAAGGCGGGTTTCCCCCAGGTGCCCAGTTTGGCCTCAAATCTTCCATCCTCCTGTCTCAGCCTCACAAGTGGTAGGGCTTACAAGGGTGTGCTCCCATCCCACACACCTAGGAGAACCAAGTTTTGGCTGAAAAATATGCAAATTTTGTAGTAGGTGGATGAGTCATCACCACAGAGACATGTAATTTCTTAAAGTGGAAAAGAACTGAAAATCGGACTTCACCAAGGTGTGCTATTTTATTAACTAGAAGATGAGCTGCTGATCAAGAAGGCACAAAGAAAAGTCACAAGTGTAATCTGAAAAGGTATTAAACAAGACACATAGTGATCAAGCCACGTTTTAAAGCCAAGCTGGGGTCACTTATTGGGTGTGGGGTTTAGGAAGAGCTAGTGAAAAAGGCCCAGAGAATAAGGCCTGCTACACTGTAAGTGTTCACTTCATATGGCGATTAGCATGCATACATGTAGATAATACCTACCCGTTTTAGACCAGGCACGTGAACAAACACTCAGAATACTACAAAAGCGTAAGAATTTAAGCTAAGCTATATAACTTAATGTGAGCAGGGCCTGTCTTTTAACTAGCAGCACCAGAAGTGAGATACTAATGGATTTCTAGGGTCTGGTTTGAAGAGCTGACATCTGCACTGTGTGGAGCTGGACAAACAAGCCCATTGTTTTGTAAACTGTTCCGGGATTTCTTTTTACTGACTTTGTGTGGCAGATGAAGCTAAGTGGCTTACTCAGCAAACACACCTGACAAAGGGAAAGATTTTAAGCAAACTACTATTTATCCAATTTGTAGTTTCCCTGTAGAATTCTAGATTTTATGAATTGTCCAGCAGCCTTACCCAGGGAGGGCACAGGTCAGAAAGGAAACATTGTGTGATGTCTATCCAAATATATTGTTCAGTAACATTATTATTATTATTATTTTTTGTCTTTTTCCTTTTTATCGGTACCGGGGATCGAACTCATGACTGCCTGCTTCCAAGGCAGGCGCTTATGCCGCTGAGTTAAACCTCCAGCCCCTCAGTAACATTATTAATGTTGAAGAAAGCAAAGTTTTAAAAGTCTGTACAACTCAGCCCAAAACAAATGAATATACATTTGTTTATAACATGAGGCAGGCAAAATGACTTAAAGTAACTTAGGCTACGCTTATTTATGTATTTGTTTGTTTTTTTTGAGATAGTCTCATTATATAGCCAGGCTGGCCTCGAACTCATGGCAATCCTCCTCTTGGCAATCCTCCTGCCTCGGCTTCCCAAGTGCTCAGATCACAGAGGTGCACCACCACTCCAGGTTTACCATGTTTCAATTCTAGAAAAGAATATCCTAAGAAATTGACAGTTTTTATTTCTCATCTTACAGCTGACATGACCTAAACTTTCCTATAGATGTAACCCTGTAAGTTAAAGAGCTATTGAATAATAGTCCTGTAGAAACTATTTAGCAACATTCAAAACAATCGAATTTTCTGATATGCCAAACAAGTTTTTCCAAATTCTTTTCAAGGATGGTGTGGTTACGGAAGAAACTGAAGAATTAACTACTCCTTAAACAGATCAAGGAATATGACAGCCCAGCCAAGGGGCTACAGTTATGTTACTGTTCAACCAGTTCCTAAGAGAACACAAAGAATGTGACCCAGAGAACACAGAAAAATGAATGTTTTGGTTTCTTCTGGATGAAGAGACTCCCATTTTTTCCCTCAGAAGTATTTTAGGATTAGTTAAGATTGTTTGCTTAAAAAGCAGCACTTACCGTTTGATTATGAGGCACCTTTAGAAGTGATGGATGCTCTGCACACTCCTTGGAGGTTCTGTTGTTTGCTGCAGTTGTATTTGAATCTACCATTTCCACCAACGCCACACTCAGGTTCACGCGCAAAGCATAGAGAACGAAGAAACCGAAAAAGGACAAAAATGCTAACTTGTAACGTGCAGAGCAGCACACTGGAGCTGAAATAAAGATAGGAGGAAAAGGTTGAAGAGCAAATTAGTTAATGCTGTCTAAATCACAGAAAAGCTTACTTTTTACAAGTACACAAATTAATAATCATGAATATTTTTTGGAACTTGCCTCAGATTAAGTGTATCTAAAAACATTCCTCAAAGAGAATGTGTTCCCTGCATCTGTAGTTTTGATAAAAATTTAAAATGGGACAGTCTCAACTCCAAGGCAGCTTATAAAACATAGAGATAATGGCTAGATCAACTCTGCTCAGAAAAACCTCTGTTCCACAGTCAATGAATTCTTTATTCTAGTCAACCTGTAAAAGTATAGCACAGGACAAATAGCTAACGGGGATTAATGGCATCGTCGTTTCTAAAACTACTAAAATCACAGCCAGTAAGTCCTTGAGTGCCTGTGCCATCTGTATGACTATGGGACAGCAGCAACTCATTGTGAATGTAGCACAGGAAAAATTATCGAAGAACAGGGTACAAAACCCCTCTTAATGAAGTTCTTACCTTGAAAAATATCCTCAGGGGCCATAATTAGCACTGAAGCTCTCCTGAGCCTAATGTTTCTAAGAACCCAGAGGCAGACAGACAGAACCCACGACAGTTGCAGCCTTGGCAGTTGCTCAGTAGTCACCGAGCTTAAAGGGCCCACAGCAAAAAGTGAAATAAACCGAGGAGCAGCAGATGAGGGATGATCACATGATGGGAGGAACCTGACCTCGTTTTTTATGTTTTTTTTTTATCTAACGGAAGGTTTACAGACATATTTCCTTTTTTTTTTTTTTTTTTTTTTTTTTGGCTTGTGAAGTTGGAGAGGATGAGCATTCAGGAAGCCAAGGGTGATCAGCCTTGTAGGGACAAGGAGAAACTGGCTAGTCCAGAATCTACGAGCCTTTAGGTTTCGTAAATACTGATAAGTTTCTGTTTAAAATCTGGGAGACATAACTCTAGCTACCTGATGAAGCGGAGAAGGAGAAGGAATCCTTGAGTGCAGGAAGCTGGGCACTATATAGTAAGACTGTATTTTAACCAAACCAAACCAAACCAGCCAGGCACAGAGGCAGACACTTTTAATCCCAGCACTCTGGAGCCTGAGGGATGAGGACTGAGGATGGCTATGAGTTTGAGATCCACCTGGGCTACAAAGTGAGCTCAAGGCTAGCCTCAACTGCAGTCAGACCTGTCTCAGAAACAGAAAAAACAAAAATAAAAACAAAAACAAAAAGACCCAACCCAACCCAACCCAACCCACTACATTCCAGGGTGGGGCTACAGCTCAGTGATAGAGCACTGCCCAGCATGTGGGAGGTCCTGTGTTCCATCCCCAGCAACACACACACACTCACACACAGACACTGGCACAGTAGTAACAACAGCAGCAAATCTGTTTAAAGTAACGGGATATAATCCAGAAGGAGGGTGCATTCCTAGGAGCCCAGCTTGCACGCATGCCTGTGCTGAGCCTCAGCACCATAAGAAAAAAAATATGAACATGTTTCAATAGGTGATGACAAGTTGAATACATGTATATGGAGATACATGTGCATTTGTTTGGTAAAGACATTACTATTACATAGAAATGTGTTTTTCCTTCCTACTCTATTGTTCTACTGTTTTCATTGACCTAACAGCAAGCAAGAAAATATTTTTCTTTAGAGTGCAAAGGTCTTGGTGCTGTTTCAGATGGATTTATCCAGACTGCAACATGAATGAAAATGGCATAATTGCAGAGGATTTAGCTCAGTGGCATAAGCGCCTGCCTTGCAAGTGTGAGGTCGTGAGTTCGATCCCTGGTAAAAAAAAAGAAAAAAGAAAATAGCATAACTATACTCAGGTACATATTAATACACTGTGGCCTCACTCCCTTGTCTGCACACCTCCACACAATTATCAACTGTGGCCAGTTTGTTCTGTGCACAAGTTAGCAGAAAATTCTCACTTGATATATTTTTTTCTTTTTTGTACCGAGGATCAAACTCACGAGCTCAGCTTACCAGGCAGGCGCTGTGCGGCTGAGCTAAATCCCTGGCCCATCACTTGCTAGTCTTGAGTTCTGATGCAGGAGTGTGGTTGTTAGAATCATGGTGCCGTTGCCACAGTGAGGTCCAGATCACTGAGAACTGCATTTCTTTCTTTCTTTTTAGTTTATAACAGGGTCTCCCTATGTAGCCTGGCTGTGAAGTCACTATGTAGTCCAAGGGTGGCCTTGAACTCACGGAGATCCTCTTATCTCGGCCTCTGAGTGCTGGAATTACAGGTGTGTTCCACCACACCAGGCTTGAGAACTATTTCTTAGGCTCCATTCACTCTCCGTCACCTGAATTGATGTAGATTTGCTCTCTGTTCCAACCAAATGGGTAGCTTTCCCTCACAAGGCATATTTTACTGCAGAGTGCACTGCCTTCTAAAAAAATCCTTTCTTCTCTTTCTTCTTTCTGGTGCTACTGGGGATTGAGCCCGTGATCTTTGCACTGAAATACAATGCCAACCTTCCCACCCCCACACTTTTATTTTTTAAAGACAAAAAAAAAAAAAAGACAGGGTTTTGCTAAGTTGCCTAAAGTGGCCTGAAATTTAAACCTTTCGACTTCAAGCTGTCTGTACAGCTTGTATTATAGGTATATATACTTCAGCCAGAAGAATATATATATTTTTTCATCACTTGGTCACTTTCCCATTTACATGGGAAGTGTGGATGGGGCAACTATAATTTTTTTTCTTTTTTTAATGGTACTGGGGATTGAACTCATGCCCGCCTGCTTGCAAGGCAGGTGCTTATGCCGTTGAGTTAAATCCCCAGCCCAGGGCAACTATAATTTTGTCAAAATTGGGCACTTAAATTGTTAATTTGAAGCCAGCACTCGTGAGGCTGAAGCAGGAGGATTATTGCAAGTTCGAGATCTGCCTGAACTACATAGTTAAACCCTCTCTCAAGAAGACCAAAAAAAAAAAAAAAAAAAGAAAAAGTTAGTTTGAGCTGACATGGTGGCACATGCTTGTATCAGTTACTCAGGAGGCTGAGTCAAGAAGATCAAAAATTCAGGGTTGTCCTGGGCAATTTATTGAGACTCCCATCTCAAAAAAACAGAGTTAAGTACTTTGACACAAGAAAAATTCTGATCCATGTACTATATTTGCTTTACCAGGTACTATTTAAAATTTATATATCTACTTTAGCAATGGAGTGACAACATGTGATTTTTGTTTTAAAGAGTATATCTGGTTGAGCATGGTGGTGCACATCTATTACCTCAGGTACTAGGATAAGGGAGCTCTTGCAGAAGATGCAAAGTTCCAGGCTAGCCTGAGTAATTTAACAAGACTGTCTAAAGATAAAATCAAAAGACCCAGGGATATAGCTCAGGGGTAGAACACTTGTCTAATGTATGCAAAGCCCTAGGTTCAATCTCCAGTACCACAAAACTATCTTAGTTGTTCTGTGATAATTACTGAGATAAAACATGTGCTTGAGCATAGGGGTAGCAGGTTCAAGATCATTTAAGGCTGCAGTTCCCCCCTTTTTGGCACTGGAACTGGCTTTGTGGAGGACAATTTTCCCACAGAACTGGGGTGGGTGTTGAAATGATTCAAGTACATTACATTTATTGTGTATTTATTTCTACTAGTATTAGATTGTAATACATAACAAGATTAATACACAACTCACCATAATGCAGAATCAGTGAGAGCACTGTGCTTACTTTCTTTCAACTAGATGATCCTGAGAGAGATGAGAGGCAGTGGCCCTGATCTGTGTTGCTTATGTCCAATCTATTCTGTTACTTTGTTTTAGATGCTGTCACTGCAAAAAACCCTGCTTCATAATAGTAAAATGTTGGAAGCAGGCTTTTCAGTGCCTTGTGGCAACTTCAGGCTATTCTGCCTTGACTATTTTTTTTTTTTTTTTTTGAGACAGGGTTTCACTATGCAGCTCAGGCTGGCCTTGAGCTCACTTTGTAGCCCAGGCTGGCCTTGAACTCACAGGGTTTCTACTGCCTCAGCCTCCTGAGTGCTGGGATTATAGGCATGCACCACAACGCTTCACTCTGCCTTGACTTTAATCCAGAACACATGGAAACTTGAAATTGTCTCAAACATACTTTTCTTTCTTTCTTTTTTTTTGTCTTTTTCCTTTTCATTGGTACCGGGGATTGAACTCACGACTGCCTGCTTGCAAGGCAGGCACTTATGCTGCTGAGCTAAATCCCCAGCTCCTCAAACATACTTTCAAGGCCAAGATAATTTTCACACTCAAGTTGATCCTCTTCTAGCACAAAGTTCAGTCTTATTCACAAATGCATTTTGCATCCTTTCCTTTCCAGTTTGGGGTCTTCTTGGCTGGGAAGTAATGCTTAAGCTCTTCTGAAAGCTGAGATAGGTGTTCATGCACTGGACAGCAGAAAGAATGCTCCAGCTCAGTCTTTTTCAAAATCTTTGCAAATATTTAAAACATGCTCCAAATCCCAATTTTTACTTGTTCCCATAATTCCAGTTTGGCTTTGAATGCAGTCATTTTATCAGCTGACTTGAACATAGTGAACATTCTTCACTGGAGTGACAGAATGAGTTCGTTGAACAAGTTGAGTATGTCAAAGCTGAAATACTCTAGCCAGTGAGATCCAAAGCCATCTTGTTTCTATGTGTAACATGTGTGCTTCACATCCATTCCTCACAGAGCTGCTCAATCAGACATGGGTAGAGGGGATGATTTTAATGTGGTTGATCAGGTGACACTCAGAATTTCTCTATGAATGACGCAGCATGCAGACTTGCACTCAGAAGCTACCTCTCTGACTCTAGCAGCTGTCTGACCTGTGCTTGTACCAAAATGACCAATTCAGTCTTCTTGACATTTAATCACTCAAAGACTTGAATGTGATTGCAGCTGTGATGGTGGCTGACAACAAAAGTGCACATAACTTATGTTCATGCACATCCTCCTGAAAAACACATAGTGCGAGAACATGGCGGATAGATAGCAGCAGCTATGGAGG